AACAAGTGGCCCCAAACAAAGACATTAAAGTGTGAGGGGACGTTTGATAGGAGGGAGGGGATTGATGTGAGTGGGAAGGGGATGGAGAGGAGGAAAATAGGAATATGGCCAAAATACAGTGTGTGTGTGTGGTGTGTGGTGTGTATGTGGTGTGTGGTGTGTGGTGTGTGGTGTGTGTGGTATGTGGGGTGTCTGTGTTGTGTGTGGTAGGTATGGTGTGTGTGGTGTGTGTGTGGTGTGTGTGTGTGGTGTGTGTGGTGTGTGTGTGTGTGTGGTGTGTGTGGTGTGTGTGTGTGGTGTGTGGTGTGTGTGGTGTGTGTGTGTGGTGTGTGTGGTGTGTGTGTGTGTGTGGTGTGTGTGGTGTGTGGTGTGTGGTGTGTGTGGTGTGTGTGTGTGGTGTGTGTGTGTGGTGTGTGTGTGTGGTGTGTGGTGTGTGTGTGTGGTGTGTGTGTGGTATGTGTGTGTGTGTGGTGTGTGTGTGGTGTGTGTGTGTGGTGTGTGTGTGGTGTATGTGTGGTGTGTGTGTGTGTGGTGTGTGGTGTGTGTGGTGTGTGTGTGGTGTGTGGTGTGTGTGTGTGGTGTGTGTGTGGTGTGTGTGGTGTGTGTGTGGTGTGTGGTGTGTGTGGTGTGTGTGTGGTGTGTGTGTGTGGTGTGTGTGTGTGTGTGTGTGTGTGTGTGTGTGTGTGTGTGTGTGTGTGTGTGTGTGTGTGTGTGTGTGTGTGTGTGTGTGTGTGTGTGTGTGGTGTGTGTGTGTGTGTGTGTGGTGTGTGTGTGTGTGTGTGTGGTGTGTGTGTGTGTGTGTGTGTGTGGTGTGTGTGTGTGTGTGTGTGTGTGTGGTGTGTGTGTGGTGTGTGTGTGTGGTGTGTGTGTGTGTGGTGTGTGTGTGTGTGGTGTGTGTGGTGTGTGTGTGGTGTGTGTGTGGTGTGTGTGGTATGTGTGTGTGTGGTGTGTGTGTGGTGTGTGTGGTGTGTGTGTGTGTGGTGTGTGTATTATTTTCTAAAAGCCACACTCAGGCTGGGGTTATGGCTCAGTGACTGGGAGCTCACAGATGACTGCATGCCTCAGGCCCTAAGCCATGTTCAGGATCCCTGCAGCCCCACCCCACACTGCCCTGCCCCCAAGTGTGCATTACTGCTTCCCTCGGGCTCACGCCTTGAGTGGTGCAGGCATTTCCATAGCAACCAATTGCTCGGTTACAGAGGCATGATTCCAACTCCAGGTGGGTTATAACAGAATCGACAGATGAAACCACTAGTGACAGAGACCTAGTTTTCTAGGCACCTCTCCTAATACCAAGGAGATGAACGAAATGGGATAAGTGTCAAATTTTCCATGCAGTATCCTCTGTTTGCTCAAACAATCTAATACGCTCAAAAGGACAGCTCTAGCTGGCGAAGGTGCCTCAGAATAGCTCCCATGGTTGACACGAGTAAAGGCAGAGGAAGGACCTTGGGTTCTTAAGACAGAGAGGAGGTGCATTGATGGTGTCCCTACAGGCTGGCAAGAATCCCTAGCTGGAGGAGGCAGCCTGTTGATCTTGAGTGCAGAGCTGAGTCTCCCATCTCCCCTGGTTCCCATCTTGCAGATGAAGTGGTTTGATTGTTGCACACCTAGGTTCTGTCTAATGCAGAGGCCTATTTAAAAGGAGAGACTATAAATGTGACGCTGAATTGACTTTTAAGTTGTGTGTGTGTGTGTGTGTGTGTGCATGCAATAGATGTTGAAAATATATGTTGTTTGCATGGGGTATGTGTGTCCATGCCTGTTTTCTTCCCCTTAAAGCCATCATCCCTTCCTTTCCGTGTGATCTGTCCATCCAGACGACCCATCTCAGGGAAGAATAAAGATGTCACGGTACTGCCCCAGCACTCTGCTTGCCACTCTGAGGTGCCAGACATTTGGTTCTGCCCAACACCACCCCTCATGCAGACTTGCCACATCCTACCGTTAGTTCTCGGGCCGCCTGGGGCACAGAGAGCTCTCTCCAGCTACGGCCTGGGTATCTGTTCACACCCAAATGCCAACCTGGGTCCTGAGGGTTTCAGTGTGTGCCTTCTTGATCCCTCCCCACCCTGCCGTGAAGGCCCCAAAGGTGTCATCACTTTCTGCCTTTATTCCTGGGGCCTAATATTGTCACATAGGTGGCCAGTCAATATTAATCAAAAGTAGAAATGATGGATGAGAAATGACCTGTGAAAACATTTGGAGCACTTAGTAATGTGCCTGCTGTGGAAGCATGAGGACTCAAGTTGGGATCTCCAGCTCATATAAAGTCAAGTCTTAGCATCATGATGCAGGAGGGAAGAGTTAGATGGGGGAGGGGAGGTGCAGGTCAAGTTGCCACTGGAGGAGACTTGAGGACATTGTCATCCCTAAGGCTCTGGGGTAAGGTGGAGAGCTGGGCACCTGGGGAGGAGCCATGAATATGGAGGGAACAGAGAGAACTGCTCGAGGCCTGGAATGCTTGTCTTGCCTCTGCTCCACCCTCTTAAAGCTGACTGGGGCAATGGGCAATTGTAGGGCAGGGCAATATCAACACCCTTACCCAGGAAGGACTCGCGAGAGAATGATGTTCCAAAGGTGAGTCTCTCAGTCCAGGAGATAGCACCCTTCTGTGTCTTGATAACAGGGCCATGCTGTGGTCTCCAGTCATCTCCCAGTATGCATTTGCCAACAACACCTTGGTATTTTCCATTATGCTAATAACTCGGAAGCCCAAAAAGACTTTTTCCATGCCTTCAAGGATTTGGGAATATGGCTAGGAGTTGCATATACCCATGAAAGTTCATATGAACTAATTATTTGATTTAAGGGCTAAGTCAGGAATGTAAGCATAGTGGGTCCTAGGGGATGATGGGGTAGGGGAACATGGGGATTCCCTTGAGACTGGCTGGTCAAGAAGTCTTTGGGTAAGGAAAATGGGGGTCCAGTGGGGCTTGCAGGGTAGATGAGGTCAAAAGGAAAATGCCTTGGACGGGCTCAGAAGCGGGCACCAACAGAGAAAGGCAGAGCTTTCCTGCCGTGGGGAGTGTAGTTCCCTGTCAACGGGGACCTAGGCTGGCATGCTTGGTGTGCCACTCGATGGCCAGACAGCCTGGACGAATGCTTTCACATCTGCATTAAATTTCCTCAGCTACAAAACAGGATCTGGTGAGGACCACTTATCTGGAAGGCTGTTGGGACATCAGGTAAAACACCTTCAAGGATAATGGTCCCTGCTGTCATGGTGCCTTGGGAAATGTCCCATCTGGGACCTAAGGAAATAAATATCATGTGCCCTTTACAAGTAAATCCGCAGACTGATCAACAGGGAGAAGAATCCGTTCTCTTCCAGCCTGTGGGAGAGTTGCCTGCGCACACTGTCTCCGGATGTTTGACTTCCTGAGTCCTCCCTGAACAATGCCACTACTGTCCTGGCACCCCTGGCAAGCGGTCCCATGGCAGCCAGGTTCTTGTCACATGTCATTTTCCTGGAGTGAGTCACTGGAGAACTGAGCTGTAGTCATAACCTTCACGTAAGGGAGGAGAGAGCGTCCCGGAACGAACAAAGTACAGCTTGGCTTGGGTTCCCTTTCATGGACATTTCGCCCCAGGCCTTGACCTTGTAACTCAAAAAAGGAGGACCATGTGATGAGTGGGACAAGCTAATGAGCAGCTTGTGACCACCACACAAAGGGCCTGTCAACCCCCAAGATCTTCTCTTCCCTTCCAATCTAGCCATTGCACCTTAGAGCAAGACAGGCTGTTAGAGTCCTGGGTCCCCAGGGAAAACTCATGGCTTCCCCCCCAGAGGAAGGGGGAGTGGCCAGGGAAGGCGAAAGCACAACTTTGTGGACAGGCTGGGTGTCTTCCTTCCTCCAGGGTAAAAGCATGGCATTTTATCACCACAGACGCAAAGCAGAGCTCAGCAGTGCACACATCTGTGTGTGACCTTCATGATGTAGCTCCCAGGGTGAGATGTGACCTTGGGACAGATGATGTCCGCAGCCTGGACAGCTAGTGTGGCAGAGCAACTGAGGGTTGAGTGGTAATTGGAACCTGTGAGTCTGCCTTCCCCTCTGTCTGTGTGACCTTGGGGTGTGACCTTGTGCGGTCTTACTTCTCTTAAGACTGGGATTCCACATCTGAAAAGTGGTTTGTCTAGGTCACTTCATTCAAACACTTCTACTACCCCAGGCTCGAATTTTCTTGGCTACTCAAACACAGAGCCTTAGAAACAAATAAATACATAAAGGTGAAACATAACTGTAATTGCATAGCTGTAATCCCAGCATGAGAGAGAGCTAGACTATCAGTGAGCTCTCCATCTGCTTCCCTTTCTCTTCCTCTCCCTCCCTTCCTCCCTCCCTCCTCTCCTCCTCCCCTCCTCCCCTCCCTTCCTCCCTCCTCCCCTCCCTTCCTCCCTCTCTCCTCTCCTCCTCCCTTCCTCTCTCCCTCCTTCCTTCCCTCCCCCTCCTTCCCTTCTTCCCTCCCTCCCCCTCACTCTCTTCTCCTTTCTTCTTTCCTTTCTTTGTTTCAAGACAGCATCTTGTGTAGCCCAAGGGTGGCCTTGCACTCACTCAGTATGTAATTAAGGATACTATTAAGCTGTGGATCTTGACTCCATCTCCTACATGCTGGGATTGTACCTATGTGGTGCTGGGGACTGAACCCAGGGCCACACTTATGCAAGTCAACTACTCTGTTAACTGGCTATTTCCCAGCCTCGTCTTTACCCAAAAAGAAGAATAAGACTTTTGTGTTTAAAGTATGGAGAGATGACAGCAATCTTTACCAGAATTGACTCCACACTTCCCAGCTCCCCAAACACAAACCCAGAAGGGGCTCCATGACTACAGACCTTACATTTGTATGTTCAAATGGAGTCCAAAGCTTGTTCCCACAGTGATATATACAACCTCTCTGACTTTTTGAGTCCCAGAATACCCAGCAGGTCATTCCATGAGCTGTCCGCATTCGAGGGCATTTCCCAGTTTTCTTTTTTCTTTTTTTCATGGGTGTATCAAAAAATAATCTTTATTGTCACTAGTATAAAACAGAGCAGATCAACTGGCCTCTTCGTCTGTACAGAGTGTGGGGCATGAGGCCACCTGGGCTGCCCGTACTGCTGTCATAATGCCCCGAGCAGGAACAGTGCCTCAGGAGCTTCTGAGGAGAGGGCCACAAATGCCTGCCTTGGGGACAGGAGTCAGGGGTGAACGGGGCTGGGGGACCGTGTGTTGCCTGAGGGAGGTAAAGCAACAGGAGAAAAGAGGGATGGGGGGGGGAGCTCTCAACTGGTCGCCATCCCGTCCACCTGCACCAAGTCCACTGAACGGAGGGTGGGCAGCCGATGGGCGGTAATGGCTCCCGTGGCCTCAGAGGGCTACACGGCCACAGCAGTGGCGCAACACACAGGGCAGGATGCCTCGGTTCAGCTGGTGGAATTCCACGAGCTGCAGCAGGTCTGTGAAACGGGTCTGGCCGTCGTCCATGCTGAGGTACAGGCAGCCCTCATCTTCGCTAGGTAGAATGAGGTAATGCTTGACTTTCTGCAGGTGACACAGAGACAAAACAAAACCCTGTGGGTTGCGCTGGCTCTCCCGGACCAGGAACACACCATCCACCAGACCCTGCTGTCCAATTAGCCGCTGGCTCTCCTCCCGGGAAATGCGTCCGTGGAACCAGGGCTGGGTGCGGTGGATGGCTGCGCTGAGACTCGAGCCGGAGCACGGGGTTAGCAGGCTGAGACGGTGGTTTGTCTTCTTCCTCCAGGCCTGGGCCTCCTCCATGGCGGCACTCAGAGCCTCCCGGGTGTTCTCAATGACACGGCCAGCATGGCCAGAGAAGTCCATGGCCACTAGGGTATTATCTGAAACACTCCTCAAGGGCGAAGACCCCAAATAGGATAGGCGCAGGTGACGAGACTGAGTCTGTTGATAGTTCTTATATAACTGTACCCCATACTTGAAGAGACGGAAGGCAGTTAGCCAGCAGGTCCGGCTCTGCTCATCCTCACTGCAGAAGATGTGGAGCCCCTTGTGGCCATTTCGAAGCTTGTTGGGCTTGACACAGAAGCCGAAGTCTGTGGGCATCCCATAGAGCTTGCGGCCCTGGGTCACCACATACGCATTAGACTCATTCACGTCTGCCACGTACTGTAGATGCCTCGGGTCCTTAGAGGTGCCCTTGGTGGAGTAGTAGAGGCCAGACCGGCGCAGAAAGCAGAAAAACCGTTTCCAAAGCTTTCGGCCTGAGCTCCGGCCAGAGCCCCGAAGCTGCAGGAAGCCCTGGATCTCAGGGAAGCTGCCGGCATTCAGGAAGTTCTGGATGAGGTCTTCATGGGACGTGCCTGTTTGTGCATCCAGACAGCTGGAGACCATCTTTTCTGGGAACAGCATATGCGGGGGGCTCTTGAACAGTTCATACTTGGCAAAGTTTTTGCGGAAGACAAAGCGACTGTCTCCACCAACAGGCCAGGCCTCCTGCACTTCCGCCACCAACTCATGGTCTTCCACACAGCGCTCCAGTGCTAAATAAGGGTGGCACTCCACCAAGCCCCAGCTCTCATCGCCCAGGGCGTGGGCTCGCTGTACCAGCATTTCACACACATGTCGAGCTGTGGCGCCCGCTGCCACCTCCACAGACCGGCAGGCCCCGTCCTCACTGAACACCTTCATCACGTGGAGGCGGCTGGAGTCTCGAGGAAGCAACCCCTTGGCACTGGAAGAACCTCCAAGAATGGGTTTCTGCGAAGGAGGGCTGCAGAGCTCAGGGAATGGGTTGGGGGTGGAGGGTAGGGAGGTCACCTGAAGCTCCTCTTCTCGAAGTTTCCTGCCGCTTGGAATGGGCAGAGGCTGTGACCGCTTCACATCCCCCGCTGGAGGGTTGTCAGGGGGCGGAGGAGTCTCAGGAGGGGTACCAGGAGCTGGACACACATCTTCTGGGGAGCTGCTGAGATGAGGTAGACTCAGATCCAGTTCCATGGCACCTGGAGGAACTCCAGCAGAAGGAGCGGGACACCGGGCCCAAAGTCAGGTTCTATCTAGAGATCCCAAACACTTGGATTTGGTTTCAAATACACTCTCTATGCTCTACAGGTGGTAGGAGGGTATCATACCTTTGGATGTTGAGGTGGGAGAATGTGGAGAGAACCTGTGTATCCCCCCAGTTTTCTTTCCTGTGGTGCCCAGCCTCACTGTGCCACTCAGTTCTTCAGATGCTCTCTGAAACCCTGAGGAGGCTGGCTCTGGGGAAGCTTGCCTTCTAGCAGGGAACAAAGTACTTGTCCCAAGAAAAACAGAATGCAGCTTCCGGGAGGAGGAAGCCTTGCTGCTGAGCCTTGTGAAATGGGTAGACTTTAGGAGTTTTGCCAAAGGAAGAGAGTGTGCCAAGCCCAGGACAGAGGCACAGGAGTAGAAGAGCAGCGTAAGTCACAGGTCAGTAACAAGTGTGTTCCTTCGGCTGGAGCTTCAAGTGGAGCTGAGCTGAGCTGTGAACTTCAGGCCGAGGCAGTTGGAGTTTCCAGAATTCTATGACTTTGGGCTTGAGGGCTTGAACTGGCATTCTCTATCAGAGCCATACAGTGATACGATTTGGGTCTTAGGAGAGTAATGGATGCTTGAAGGAGCATGTGTGGAGTTGGAAAGATCCAGGGGACAGCACTACAGTAAATTCAGCACAATGGCCACTGAGTTCAGTGGAGAGACCAGTTAGTTTGGATATGAAGGTGTCACTCAAAAAAGGCTTGTGTGTGTGTGTGTGTGTGTGTGTGTGTGTAAAGAGATGTCTTACTTGTTAAAAACAAATACTGCTTTTGCAGATGACCTAGGTTTGTTTTCTCAGCACCAATGTTAGGTAGCTCACAGACACCTGTAATTCCAGCTCCAGGGCATTTCATGCCATCTTCTAGTCTTAGTGAGTACTTGCATATGCATGTATGCATACACACACACTCACGTGTACACACATACAATAACATACACACATGAGTTTGTGCACACAGGCACATACACATGCACACATACACATAGACAGAACACACATGCATGAGCTTATGCACACATGCACAGGCATGTACACACACACACACACACACACACACACACGATCTTTAAATGAGGCTCATGGGTTGGAGGCTAACTCCCCAGCTTGCGGCAACGTTGTAAGGTAATCAGATCTTGAGGGTACAATCTTGTCAATTAGTTAATGCCTTGATGAGTTATAGCTGAGTAGATCATTGGGAGGTGGGGTCTACTTGAAGGAAGTGGGTCTCGGGGGGGCCTTCCTAGAGCATATCATTTCCTGAATGAGCATGTGGGCTCCCCTACTTTCTCCTTCCTTCCTTCTCTTTCCCTCTTTCCTCTTCCCCTTCCCCCTCTTGTTCTCTACTTCCTGCCAGCTCCTTCCTCCTCCCCCTCCCTCTTCCTCTGCTTCTCTGTGTGCTTCTTCCTGGTAGCTATGAAGTGAGCAGCTTTCCTCCAACATGTCTTGCCACAGGCCTAATACAACCGGGTCGGCTGTCCAAAGACTGAAGCCTCCCAAACTAACCCACTCTGAATCTTCAGTTGTTTACCAATAGTGTTTTGCCAGCCGTGGAAAGTGGCTAGGGGAATTGGAAGGCAGGGAAACTTTGGGAAGACTGATGAGGCAGCAGATTGGTCAGCTAAGGCAGGAAAGATGCTGTAGCGGGAACCTGGTAGCTTCCCCACACTGGGCTTATGTGATGGCTTGTCTTGCTGTGGCATGGAAGGTTGTTGTAAAGAGGGATCCAGGAACAAGTATAGGAGAACTGACCCCATGCTATCTGCTTTCCTATTAAAAACAGAACCTTTCAATTTTAGCCAGACACATGCATCCTATCTGTGTTCCTTACATCTAGGGAAAGCCACGTAACTACATATGGCCCATGATGACATCTAGAAAAGAGTTTCCCATGGACTAGAAGGCAGATGATGGCTGAAACTCAGTGGCTGTCTTGAACCATGAGGTAAAACTTCATGCCTAGAATAATGGGGCTATATGATGCTGGTTCATGGTGAATGTCACTTTACCATACCTGTTCCACACTGCTGAGCTCCAGACTTTATTGACATAGGGTGAAATAATTGTAGGAGGTGTTCATGCTTCTGTCTTCTGTTTCTGCAACCAAGTTAATTCAGTCTTAGTCTATTTAACGAGCCATAAAGAAACAGGGCACACACCCATCTAAACTTTCTCAGAAGAGAAATGTTTATGTCCACAAGATATCATCTTCCATGGCTCTCAGCACTCAAAGGCCCAATTATTCATCAAAAGATTGTTGTGTAGAGTTTTGGAGGCGGGAGAGGCACCGATACCAGGTCATCATGGTCTATAGACACCTTCCTCAGTGTACAACTTAGTCATCCTTTCGTGCCAGGAAACCTCATGTCCTCTATGTCCTTATTTTCCTGGAAGGACACTCCTCTCTGTTTCCCTAGATCCTAGGCAATCTGCTCCCAGATGCCATACTCTCTCTTCCAACCAGGTGCAACAGACTTGAAGGCAAAGCTGGGTGTTGTACATGCCTGTAATCAAGATAGGAACATTTTGAGTTCAAGGCCAGCTTGGACTACACAGACTCCTTCTCTAAATAAAGTGGTTCTCAAAGTTAGAATTGGATGCGTGCACTGGCCTTTGCGAACTGGACCTCATAACTGCCAGTGGCTTTTAGATAGAACATCTTTTGGGTCGCTTCTGTACTTGCCACTGTTTAGTTCTCAGTGCTTTCTTAATCCACGATGCGGCATATCACGTGATCTCTGTCCTAAAGCATACCTTGTCCCAGATCCTGACTGACAGAGTGGGGGAAGTGACAATTACAGAAGAAATAGCCAAGTGTGAGGCTAATGCAAACATTTAGAGGTGATGCTGAGTTTATTTTATTTTGAGACAGGGTCTCACTGTGTAGTCCTGGCTGTCCTAGAACTTGCTATCTAGACCAGGCTGGCCTTGAACTCAGAGTTCCACCTGCCTCTGCTTCTCAAGTGCTGGAACTAAAGGCGTGTGCCACTGCACCAGGCATGGCAGTGGTTTTACGAGGGAGTTGGCAAGCTGTTACAGAGCTGCTGAGGCTCCAGTCAATGAATGACAACATCCAGTCAGTGCTAAGTCTCTGTTTTGGACCTGGTGATGTCCTAGCCCTCAATACATTACTTCGCTGCTACCACATAAGGCAGGAGATCTGGGAGCTGAAAGGTGAGGCCTTTTGCCCAGTGGCACAGTTAGGATTCAGGAGACCTGTCATTCTAGTTCCCCCATTTCCCATTCCACAGCCCTCAACTATATACAAACTTATTCTTTGAACCCTGAAGCAGTTCCTTCCTTGCAAACTCCCTCTTATCAGGATGGGTGTCCCCCTCCCCTCCTGTCAGAGCATACCTCTGTATTTTCTGTGATATCAGTACCACACTGGGTAGTTGTCCAAGAACACCCCTGGAAACAGGGTGCCATTTTCCTGTTTAGCTGGGGTCAACTGAGGGCCCTGTACACACAAGCCCTTCAAGGGCTGAGCCTCGCCAACACCTCAGCCTGTCTGAAGGTTAACAAGCCTTCTTGCAGTGTTGACAAATGAGCTGGAGGGGTTTGGGAGTCAGAGAAAGCTCTGACTTGTGCCATTTTCCAATTTCTGTCATGTAAATACACTGCTGAGACCATTTCAAGCTGACAATGCAACCTGTAAAATTCCTGAATACTTAATAATTGACTGCGGTACAGCAGGCTTCAGGGACTCCATAGGCCCACAGGCTCAGGAGCTCCACAGCAGCTAAGAGTGGCTGTCTGCTGGGTCTGAATGATAGGATCCCAAGGCCTCCACAAGCCTGTGTTCTGGCCACTTCCCTGTACCTCTCTAGGGGTCTCCATCTCAGTGGGCTGGCTATGGAGCAAGGCAGACTATGCAGGACTCCCTGAAGGACAGCCATGTGGACAGCAGGTGGCAGCAATCTCTTGGTCAAAGATCTGCATTGCGGCCTAATGAGGGGCCTTTGTTCTGAGTCAGAGGCTGTGTCACCAAGAGAAAGGCCCCACAGGGCAAGCTAATCAGCCTGTCCTTAGCTGACCTTCACCTCCTGAGCCTAGTAGACAGGTCCTAGCAGGCTTACAGAGTGAGACCACTACAGCAAATAGTGGAGACAGCATATATACACACACACACACACCATACCACATTACATACCACACACACCACACCCCCCCCACACACACCACACACACACCCATACCACATACACACACACTCCACAACCCCCATACACACCACACACACCACTCTCATACACACCCATACCACACACACACACACACTCCACTCCCCCACACCACACCACATCACACACCACACACACCACACACACCCCCATACACACCACACACACACTACTCACACACACACCCATAACACACACACACACACACCCCACACACCTTTGCCCTTCCCAAAGGCTCAGTATCAGCCAGGCTTCCATCACAGGCACAGACACGCAGTGTGGTCCAGAAGAGACTTGAACGCAGGAGGGCTTTCAGGCTCCAGGAGGGCTCATCTGTTGTTATAGCCATACGGAACGCTAGTCACCTCTATGCACTCTCAGGGGCCCACTTTCCACTGGGATGAGCAGCTGTTCCAGTTTGTCCCGGGCAGTCATGGAATAAATATGCAAAATCCCTTGTCCTGCTCCTTCAATCATCCTGTGTGAGAGTGTGTGTGTGTGGGGGGGGGGGGTGTTCATGCATGTGTCAGTCCTTGTATAGCGCCTACCCGATGGTCATTATGGCAACTACTGTAGGCATGGCCATGGAGGAGAGGGGTCTACTGCAATGTCAGGGCTGGCCCAAATCCACAGACAGGACTGGATGTCATTCCATTTTTAAAACTTGTTTCCTTTGTTTCCCCCTAAAGGTCAAGGCCCATACGCAGGAGAGGGAGTCCATAACAGTGTGCCCTTCCCTCCCTCCCCATTTTGACCTCTCTCTCTTTCCCACACATGCAGCCTGGATCATGCACAAAGTCCATTGACCATTTAGCCCTCCCGGAGTCTAGCCACAGAGGACTCTATGTTCCAGGGGACAGTGAGGCCACTCACAAAGGCAAGGTGACAGGAGGGGGGAGGGCAGGCTAAGAGAGGGCCAGGCCGGCTTCAGCTGCTGAAGACTGGAGTAGCAGGACCGAATCCTGGTGCAGTGTGACAAGTCTGCTTCTGTCACTGTGACTCCTTCTCCCCTCTGAGTCCCACTTGCTCTGGAGAGTCAGGCCACAGCTGTGCCATGATGGTGGAGGAAGGCAGAGAGCTTTTCTTAAACCTAGGCACAAGCAAGGGATCTGAGGGTTTTCTGCTTCGTGTGTTGGGAGAAAGGACAGCCCTGCTGTCAGGGCTCGTGTTCCGTACAGACTGTCCTTATCTAGTCTCCTACCTCACTGAGCTTTTCCTGGCACTCACTCTGGTGGCCATCCTGATCATGTGCCAGTCCCTAAGAGCTCCAGGCTCCCTCCCATCAGCCTGTTTGCTCAGCTTGGTCCCTCTGCTTGCTTGAGAATAGCCGGCGGTTTGAGAAATGAAACCATTGAAGCTTTGGAAGAGGAGAAGAGGGTCACATCATCAAGGCAAGGCAGGGGCAGGCTTGACACATTCTGAACGGGTCATTAGGTCCCCTGGCCCCCACCAGGAAAGAACTGTTAAGTGTTTAGAAACAGACTTCTCACGAGTTTTTGGCTTCAGCAGTCTGTGTAACTAGCCTCTCCTCACATCAAACTCCATAGTGCTCAGTGGGTTCATATTTCATCCCGCTGGTGACAAGTTAATGCAGGCAAAGTCCTATTCTGAATAAAAATTGACTATGCAGGTAGCATCCTGCTGACTCCAGTTTCCTGGCCAACATTTCGGTTTGCTGGAGCTTACCTTGGAGGCTAAGGGCTTGGTGGTTTTTAAATAAGGAGTACAAAGGCCAGAGGTCCGGAGACATGGCTCAGTCAGTAACATACTCACCAAGAAAGCATGGGGACCTGAATTAGATTCCCCAGTATCCACATAGACAGTCAGGAATGGTGCTGCACACCTATAATCCCAGCTCTCTACTTCTTCCTGGCTGTCCTGGAACTTGCTCTGTAGACCAGGCTGGCCTTGAACTCACAGGAATCTGCCTGCCTCTGCCTCCCGAGTGCTGGGATTAAAGGCATATGCCACCGTGCTAGTTGTTCTATCTTTTTTAAAGATTCATTTTTTAATTGTGTGTATACGTGTATGTCTATGTGTGGGTATTGCCTGTGTGAATGCAGATGCCCACAGAGTCCAGAAGGGGGTGTCAGATCCCCTGGAGCTGGACTTACAAGTGGTTGTAAGCCACCCAGTGCTGGGAATGAAATGTCAGTACTCTGGACAAGCTGTACAAGTTCTTAACTGATGAGCCATCTACCCAGCTCCTGTTCTGATGCGGGGGTGGGGTGGGGATGAGGGTGTGGGGGCAGCTTAGGCTGGCCTGGAATTTACCCTGATCCTTCTACTTCAGTTTCCCAAGTGCTGAGATTACAGGAGTGTACCATTTGGAGTGTTCTCTCTCTCTCTCTCTCTCTCTCTCTCTCTCTCTCTCTCTCTCTCTCTCTCTCTCTCTCTCTCTCTCTCTCTCTGTGTGTGTGTGTGTCTCCCTCCCTCCTCCCTCTCTCTCTGTCTCTCTCTCTGTGTCTCTCTGTCTGTCTCTCTCTGTCTCTCTGTCTCTGTGTGTGTCTGTCTCCCTCCCTCCTCCCTCTCTGTCTGTCTCTCTCTGTCTCTGTCTCTGTGTGTGTGTGTGTGTGTGTGTGTGTGTGTGTCTCCCCCTCTCTCTGTCTCTCTCTCTCTAGATAGGACCTTGCTATTTAAGTTCAATCCTATTGTCTCAGCCCCTTGAGTGCTGGAATTACAGGTGGCACCACGATGGCCTGTGGGACCTTGATTCTGCTTCCATGTTCCTAGTTGGCTAAGGTCCTCTGAACTGCCTCTC